TGGTTTAGGACCCTTGTCGCAAGATTAACGACAGACGACAGAGAAAACTGGAATAGCACTCGTTTGGATCAGCGAAAACGTAGTTGCTGGAATTGTCGGAGGTACAGAAGACGAAGTTATAGTGCGAATTCCGAAAAATATGAATTATACTGTGAAAGTGTTGTGTTTACATTGAAAAGATGTTTGAAAAGAATCAAAGACGAAATCGGATCACAAAGTTGTTCAGGCATGGTAGAGTAAGCTGCAAAATTAAGGGATTGTCACTTTCTGAGTGTTATACTTGTGCCATAGGACGAGTTACAGTGATGCGGTTTTGCATCCATTCACTGCAGTCTGCCTCAAGAGCCCCTTTGGCCACTGGAAGTAAGGAGCAATGTAGTAAAAAGGGCCATTTTTAGAAATGGCATATATGTACGATTGTATTATATTATATGCTTTTGTCAGTGCTTGTGTACTGTCACTGAATTTGCTCCTGTGTCAAGAAGCATCGATCTGCTGTATACCCTTTTGGATGCCTTTTATTGCAAAGTTGAACGTTCAATATACTTTGTTGAAGCTAACGTCTTTATGGACGCAAGTCCTTGAGAATTTCGAGTATTTCACTCACCTCAGAGAAGAGCAGTAGTCTGACGAAAGACGAAACATTTTCTCGTTAATAGGCAATGTGCCATGAAATGTCATCAATTGTAATAAGATAAAATTTTGGACTAAAAAATCTGCTAACCAGCGTCTAACTGATTGGATTGCATGTCCTCTGGATGAGGGAAATGATAGTGTACCTTGAAATATCACGAACGATAGATCAGTGGCAACAATACATGTGCATAAGTAAATATATTGTGTTCCTCGTTTGTTGTGCAACCTTCCAAAAGATAGTATGTGAAGCTAACATCAGAATGTGAATTGCTACGATGAGATGATATGACATTTTAATTAACCGCTGTTTTGCAAAGCGACCAAGAGTGATAATATTAATACAAGCAGTTGTATGAATGGGTTTCGTTGCTGCTTCAGAGGACTTATCCTGTTGAGTCCATAATACAGTATTCCTTTCAAAAATACTTATTGAACTTCCCGAGCCTAGGCCATAATAGTGCTAAGAAACCAGGTCCCATTAACTTTCAGAGTTGTACAAAACTTACGACTTTCTGCTCGAATTCGTGACTTCACGTGACCTTATCTTACTTAGAAAGAAGAGGGTGCATGGGGAACTCGTTAAGGGCTAAATGGACTTATTCAGCCAACCCAACGTATCCTACAACTGTGGATCGCACTTACTCAATTAATTGCAGTACAATTTAATGAAACTTATTCGTCCAATTGCCTCTTCATTTAACCAGCCACCTCATATACAGTTGATGAGGAAACGAAGATCAAACGATGTTCCACTTCTACCCGCATTCTCTTGCCGTGCCATAATCGTAGGACGTTCGTAGTTGAAGAAGAATCAAAAGAAAAAGAGCTTTGGCCTGTCTACGCATCTATATTCAAAAGTAGCGTGAAACTGAGGAGTAGAAATCCGCAAAGGGAACAGGATATGACAAGGACAGATCTCAGTACTTGAATTTTTCCAGTTATCGAAGGTACCTCCCTTGGAACAAGCAAGATTTTCCTCTGTTAAATTGTTGCTGTCCATTTAAACAAAGTCTGTGGTTTCCGCTGCATTATACGAACATGCACTTCTGTGGTCATTGAGAAGATTTGTTTCAAATGGGCAGACTTCGACCGACGAGGATGTGTGTGTTTGTGTGTGTGTGTGTGTGTCTGTGTGTAGGTTTATGCATTGACTGTCATCCGCAATCAAGGAAGATATGATTGCTGAAGAAAACTCAGAATAAAAAGACAAACGGTTCAGCCAAGGTTACAGTAAGAAGCGAAGGAGCGTACTATTCGATCCGGGACCTTGAGCAGCGAAATATTCCTCGTTCTGCCATGGAAGATTCGAACAGAATAAATCAATCAGTTATTTTTTCTTAACTTTTCGTAGCAGACTTCGTACCTTTAAGAAGTCACACGTAAAAACCTCTTGATATGCACTTGTCCATATGCCATATAATGTACTGGACTCAAAATCCCACGTTTTGCAATAGGTAATATGGTACAATTATTAAAGGCAAATTTTATTTCAATCAGAGCATCTCGAACGGTTTCACGTCGTCTTCACTCCATTTTCGCCGAGCTGGTTCGTGCGTTTGATGTCGTCGGTTTCAGCTCATCGCAGCTACTTGACTCATCTGACTCATCTTCCTCGGGATCGAGTTTCGGCCTGGACGTCGTCGGTTTTTCCTCCGAAGCACAACTTCGTTTCTGCTTGTTTATTCGCTTCTTCCGCTTTCTTTTTTTCCTGAACTGCATCTTTTCTTGTTGAAAGAATTTTTCTATGGTAGTGTCGAAATCTATTCTCTTTTTTATAAGAGGCATCACCGGCTCCATTTCCTCAAGTTTCTCAAGGTTGTACAGGGTTCTCAGGTAGCTCCAAACGTTTTCGCTACTGCATTCGACGCCGGCGCGTTTCAATCCATCGAGTATGCAAAGCATTGCGAAATGGCGATGGATTCCGACCGGTCGATGGCGAATCACCTCCGATAAAATAAGGGTTTGCTCCTGGATGGAAAATTCTTTTGGAACGCTCTTGATTTCGAATTTCATTGA